TCCAGCCGGTCCACGCGGGACCGGCCCAGGCGCGAACGAGGCGGAACATCTCCGCCTCTTGCTCTAGTTGCACGAATTGCGGGAGCTAACAAAGCATTTTAGGAAGGATTTTTGAGGGATTTGGGAGGGAAATTTGAATGTAGGGACTGTTGGACTGTTTAGGGATTTCCTTTTGATTTGTATGCATTAAATACTTTGTTTTCCCATTGTTAGGGTATCTTGAATTTGGCTGAAATTTGAGATCTCTTAGATTTAAGTTTTATTTGGGCTCTAGCAGCATCTAGACATCTAGGAGAGATTGATCCTCTCGAATAGAAGATCAATAGTATCTTGCGATTTTTCGTTTCCCTTTCATAAAAAATACAAATTATCTATTATTTTTTGTGATTTTGTGCGGATTTTTGTGGAGAATTCTCGTTGTTTTCTGAAGATTGATAGGAAATACTTGAGATTTATAAGTGTTTCCTAGTGATTTTGTGTGAATTTTTGTGGAGAATTCTCGCTGTTTTCTGAAGATTGATAGGAAATACTTGAGATCTACAAGTGTTTCCTATCAAATTATTTCTTAAAACTTTTTCTTCAAGGCTTAGACCTAACTTTGATTATAAATGAACTTGATAATCTTCTTAACCTTCGGTTAACACATTCTTATGTTGAGGGAACTTTAAATTATTTCAAGGATTAAATTAATGCAATGCGTGGAAAATGAAGTCCAATAAAGATGCTTTTTCTTATTTATCAAATGATTTCTTATTGCCTTATAAGAACTTACATTGCAGTGTCAACTTGGAGTAGTAAATGCTTTCTAATCTCCTCTATAACTCTATCAATAGTTTGACAATGCATCATACACCCTTCATCTGATCCGATGCTTCAATAGAGTTCAAAAAGATAGTGCCATATGAATTGTTTATAAGAATGTTCATTAGGTTTCTATTTTTAATATCCGACCAACCATCTAACTTGATTAAAACTCTAGTTTGTGATTGTGCTCTCTTAATCTTCTCAATTATCTTTTTAGTGGTGCTTAGTTTCTTCTTCAATATCCAATCTCTGATTTCATACATGAAGGAGGTTTAAGATATCAATTATATGAACCTATTTAATGAATTTTGTTGAACAATGATGGAGAAGTTGTCTCATTAAGGGGCTGTTTGGTTGACTGAAAAAAATGCAGTGTAAAAGGAATATTTTGAAATTGTTTGGATGAATGTAAAGTAAATGCAGGTGAATGATTTTTTTGTTTGGATAGAAGTAATGAATGTAAAGTCCTAAATGGTGACGACCGGAGGTAAGCGACGAAGGCGTGCGGCGGTGGTAGTTGGCATACGAGTGGCGGGCGGTGATGGTGGCTGGTGGCGGTGATTGGCTGTGGTGGTGGCTATGGAGGTGATCGGCGGTGGCGGCGGTTGGTGGCTAGCAGCGGCAGGAGGCTGCTGGCGACAGGTGGTGATCACGCAGCTTGTGGTGTAAACGATTTTCACTCAAAATCAGAGGAGTTTAGTTTTTGACCTCAACTCAAGTTAAAAAAATTACCTCTGCTCAAAATTCCTTTTGTAAGGTTAGGTCGAGTACCTCCTCTGACTATGTAGACCAGCGATCATGATGATCTAGGATGACGAAACTATGAGATATTAATCGGGTAATCATCACTCCCCCTGCCATTTGCTTTAAGTGTAAAGTGGTACATTTCTAATTTTAAATATTAAATTTTCAAATGCCAAATCATGCTGCCACTATACGCCAGATACTTTGTATCTGTTTGACGACTAGGCTTAATCGAAAGTTTTCTCTCCTTATCGAGAGGGTAATTAACTATAGGGGCTTGCGCCTATAGTAAACTAGAACTCAGATCATAACGTCCTCGCAAAACCCAATCTCTGGATAATGTCTTGTTTAAAATCCAATATGCCTTCTGAAAATTTGCCTTGAAACTTAAACGTTAAAACTCCCCTCAACGACTAGTAAAAGAAAAAAGAAAGGGGCTGCGGAGAGTCTATGGCGCGAATTTTTGGAGCCCAAATTGGTTTTCACTTAAAATGAAATACTTCACTTTACATTACTTTTACTTTACTTTAATTTTGCATCATTATGTATTCCAACTAAACACCCAAAATTTGTAAACTCTTACATTTTGAATACTTTACACCCTAAAGTAATTCAACCAAACAACACCTAAATGTAATTGCATTCTCAAAGAAGAATTTGCCCGTGCCCATTCAAACACCCTCATGACATTTTGTGGAGACATTCCATAGTCCACTCTTGAATCATTATTTTGTCATCTTCCATATTCATTATATATTTCATCGATAGGTCCCGGTGCACTTTTATTGAAAATTTGTGACTTTGGAGAAGAAGAATATTTGCCACTAGGTCCACTGCCATAATAGTAGCCACAGTCAACTCTATCGTCAAATTGGCATTGTGCTAAATATTTTGACATGATCACTTTATTAAGATAATCACAAATTTCTTCTTCTACTTGAGCAATTTTGTTACATTGTGCAAGGTTCTTATAAGGATCGAAAAGATGTTCTTTCATTATTATTATACCTCCTTTAATAACTTTATTATAATAATTGCATTTCAAATAGATGTAAGTCTTCTCACTATTTAAAATTTGCACTTAAAACATTATTCTTTTATGTAGAATCTTTTCTATTTTCTTTTGAACTCTTCTCAATACCTCTAGTCATTCGAAAATAACCATAAAATGAAAATTCATTCAAAATAGAGATAAGGAAATGCAAATGATAAAAAAAATCAGTTAATTAAGAAAGAAATAAAAGTAGATAAGCAGGGTTGTTGGTTCCTTCAACATGCGGGTGTGAGTCTCCTTGAAGTATGAGATTTTTGATTTAGTGTTTTTTATTTTTATTTTAAGAAATAGGTTTAGGTTTAAAAGAAATTATGGGCATATAAACTAATTTTGAGATTCTAGTCTTACAAATTAAAATTTTGAAAGAATCTAACATATCAATATGAGGCTTGCACCTCCTTGAAATATCACTGAGTTGCAGCTCACTCCGACTGACATGTACGCCTCATAGCCTTTACTGTGCATCCTAGGTAAAAGTGTCTCAAATTGTGTAATTTTAAATATTGTGCTTAAAATCAAGTAATGTTATATGAACCTTCCAAAGTGACTGTCCTGTCATTTGCAGACGTGGAACAAATCTTATTTAATGCAGAACTATATAAACTAATAAATATTTTTTTTCCACATCTGTGTAAGTCTCAACACTCTTGCCTTTATATATTGGACTTGAGGGAGGTTAACGTATTCATGATTACTCTTACTCCTGTAGGACAAAAGTTGTTTTCTTGATTCAAATCAAAGACCGGACTTCTGAGAGGTCATAATGGGTGACCTCGCTGTAGCTCCATGTCATTTGCCATAGTAGCATTTAGCTTGTGAACGTTAATTCACCTGCTACAGTTGGTATTTTGCAACGGTCTAAACACAATATGTTGCATAACTAGAAAGCTTGTAGATTAATCCATGAAAAATTATTTATTTGTTTAGTCCATATTTATATATTGGCACTGAGCCAAAAATATAGATCGTGCTCTCATTACTTGCGATGGAACTGATAACTGAAAGTAGATGGCAGCAAGTTGTCCAGCTGGATATCAAATCCTGGCCAGCTTCTCTGAACTTTCAATGCCAGATCCCGTAAGATTCTGCAGCATCCACCGCAGCTGGCAATCAGCTTGGTTCTCTCACTCAAACTTGACCAAATTTATCACAGGTCAGCCTTGGCTGATTCTCCATGGTTTTCAAAACAAGGAAAATTGATGATTGCATTCTTCTTCAGCTCCCCTCCAAATTCAATTGCACTCGACATTGCTTCAGTATTACTTTCCAAGTTAGATGGCTACTTTGTACAGCAACAATAACTATTTCTTCAAACCTTTAAACCATAGATGATCCGACCTTCCCGATTATCATCAGCCCTTGAAACCTGCAACCAAACAAGTAGCAATCTTTTCTTCCCCTCCTATCTTTGAAGACTGTTTATCTTTTTTATCAGAAGTGAAAAAACCCTCAGAAATGGAGATTAGTTGGTGCAGACTATTAGAGAAAAGATGGACTTCAGACTTGGTAGTAGCAAGTCTTTGCAACCATCCATTACTTACTGGAAGATGGCCTGCTGCTGTGTACTACTTTTGCAAAGAAGATGGACATAAACAGGCAATCATCTCATGTTCTCCTTTCAACAGCACAAGTTATCGTGGCTTGAACTTGATTCCTATTGATTATATAGCTCAGAATGGCAGAAATTCTGGAGCAAGAACTACTTTGCTGAAAGCGGTTTGGATAGAGTCTGTATTTCCTTGGAAATAACTTGGTTTGAATTTTTTTTTTTCTGCATTTAGAGCTGGGATATTCTTTAGACGTATGGTTATGGACCTTATGGTCTATTTTTCTGCTTTTAGAAGAAATATTCAATGTAAAAAAAACATTTTTTAAAGCTATTTTCTCTCGACATTGCTTCAGTATTACGTTCCAATTTAGACGGCTACTTTGTACCGCAACAATAACTATTTCTTCAATCCTTTACTTCGCTGGAGTTTGATTTCTCTGTTGTGTAATACACTTGCAATGAAGACTTGTAATAGGAGTAGTAAATCCGATTAGCACCAATTGGTGGTTTAGTTTGACAATAGTAGGCAATTTTAGTTGTAAGTAAACAATTACAAGTGCAAAACAAGTGATGGGAGAGGCATGACATTTTTATAGTTTGAGCCACTAACTAGACCTATGTTCATGCCAAACCAAGACTTGAGCCATAATTCTACTTACCAGAAGTTAATTTTCCCTAAACTCAACTAACTATGTGGAGTTGTCGACCAAAAGTATGCCAAGGCCAGTCGGTATGCGCGACGAAAAAAGTTGTCAGGACATATGCCAAAATGATCTACTCTTTGGCATGTTGGCATCAAACACACAATGTTGATGACTTCCTTTGGTCAGAAAGGATAGATCAATCAACACAATAATCAAGATTAGGAATAAATTTAGGCTTGGTTAATCAATACCATACTCAAGGAACAAAACTAGAGTGTTTCTAAGAAGGATAATAAACCCAATTATGTCTAATATAGGTATGTATAAGACATAAACCGCAACTTAGTAATGGAGAGAAAATCATCCCCAGTAAAGTTGACAGAAATGCATGGGTGCTAGAAAGAATTGAGTCGATAGGTGACACGATACTTGATAGATGTTGAGATTATGCCATGCATGCTCCCGACTCAAAGAATATTAACATATATGGCAGCTTTAACAATTTTGACATGCTTTTACCAATTTTCCCCTAGTATAACTAGATCTACTAATAAGAAATCATTTAAGGCAACAATTTTCCTCCTTTGTCTGCTATAACTAGATCCATTTTTTATTATATTTAAATGAGAATTTGACTCTTAAAATAATATAATGGAGAAAAATGATTCATGTAGGCGTTCCCACGTAGTGGGATAAAGACTTGATGATGTTGTTGTTATTTGCTATTGTTCTAATACAATTTTTATTGGTTTTCATTATCTTTCTTTGGTGCTTTAGATATTCTCTCCTAATTGGCTCACGGTTGTTTTAGTTATTGCTGCTTTGATCGTTTTATTATCTCTGCCCACTTTCATTCACTTACTCTTTGTGATATAATCGGTTTATTTTATCTATATTTGCTCACTCTCCCAAAAGTGTTATATGCTTGTCAAGACATACTCATATTAAAGGTGACCTCAGTAATATTCTTGACTTACCTATTGGAAATATCACCATTCTCTACTTAGGTAACCCTATTTCCACTAGAAGATTCCTTATATCTGATTTTCAATCTTTATTCATAAAGGCACCCTTCTTCTTGAAGGTTTGAAGGCAAAAAGCTTCTACTTTACTAGCAGTATTTAGTTTATGAAATTCAATAACAACAATTCCTTTATCATGGTGACATCAATATGAAAAAGATGCAACTTTTCTTATGAAAAAACTATGCAAATATAGACATTTAGGTGGGTTGGGCATCCTGATCTCCACTACTCTGTCCCATACAATTGCTCCTAAATATGGCGTATTCTCTCCTCTGATTGCATTCTTGCTAGTTAGTGAAATTTTAGATACCATTCCTCATAGAATTATAACTCTCTAAAAACTTCAAAATTTAGGAAAAATATTCAAGCAGTTACTCAATCCATAAAAAACATAATATTTCTTTTGATGTCTCTCCTGGAAGCAACATCTCTTTACTTTGGGGTGCGGTGGCAAAGCTCTATCTGAGGCTTCGTTTGGGATGGCTTTTTACTGTAATTTTTGTACTACAAAATCATTTTAAAAAGCAGGAAGAAAGCTGTCCCAAACGAAGCCTGAGTTTACTGATATTAACTTCCTTCTCTCATACTTGCCTGCCACCTCTCTTATCTCCATCATCATCCATAATGGAAGCTCCCCAACTATTTTCCTTCTTCCCTTCGTGAGTCCCTTTCTGCTATTCCCATTATTCCTGCAGCTAGTAATGGTTTGAAGTGCTCGGGCACTCATATGCCGAGCTTCAGGTTGTTCTTCTTGGCTGCTCCTTTTGCAATGAAGCTATGGAAACGATGAGCAACTTGTTTTTAGAATGCAACTATATATTCTGCATATTATGTGATGTTACCCCCTTTGCCTGAATCTTCCTCCAAAGTCCAAATGTTCTGCAGCTACTGGGCCACATTTCTAAGAGGAATAGTGCTGTTATTGTTACCATTTTTTTTTTTTTCTTTCTATTTACTGTATCATTAACTCTTTGTAGCATGAAAGAAACAACAGAAAGTTTTGGAACAATTTTAGTCTAATCTCTTATCAAATGAAGTGGACTATCAAACTAAAAATTCAAAAATGGAGAAAATATCAGGACATATATATTCCACATAATTCAGTGACTATTTAGTCTGCTTTTTCGGTGTAACTTCTGGAAAATGATGAATCCTGCTCATCAGCGTATTGTTTCCGGTCTTCTCATGCTGCTCCCCCTTCGATGGCCAATTTGGCAACGGGGGCTGTACTCATCTCATCTTTGCTGGGGTCTGCGTAAAAGCCAATGGGTGACATTTTGTTATTCTGAGTCCACTTTTGATTTTGTTATTCGACTCATTCTGCTTTCTCTTTTGTTCTATTGTTCTTATCTCAAGGAACTCAGTTATTTTTCCTGCAGCTCCATGATTAAGTTTTTCTGATTTTGGGGGCTGAGCTTGTATCATTGATATTAAAAAAAGTACAAGTGTAAATAGAAAAACAAAGCAGAGGGTCTCGGGATGAAAAAGGGGACCCAAAAAGCAGGAAGAAAAAGTCTACAAAGAGCTAAGCAAAAACTATGAAGGACTCAGGATGCTAAGAAGAGTATCACATTCTAGAGCAGCTTCAAAATTGTCAACCATGAGCAGGGCTCCTGGTTGCCAAAAGATCTTCCAAGGGGCAGCTGGAAGTGACCAGCATTCATCATTGTCCTTTCAAAAATAAAACCATCCTGGAGAGAGAGACAGTTGAAATTTCTAAAGTGGCAGATACAGAGCACCAGGGTAAAAAAATAGCCAACTAGAGACTATCGATTAAGGCAAATGAGATAAAGCTCGGAGATTCTTCCATGTAGATACCTTACGTGCGGGTGATAGCCTTCTTAATTTTAGTGGTCAAAGTAACATGAGATTCATAATTACCATCAAAAATTCGTTCATTCCTAGCTCTCCAAATATGGTAAATAACTGTGCAAGCACATAACAGGTAATAGCTAGTCTGGCAACCAGTCACCCCTTGTTCAAGTATGCTACCAAACGCCTAGTGGAGGGTTGGCCTTAAGAGGAAATCACCCAGCCAAGGGAGAAAGCATTTGATAACAGTGAAAGTGAAATTGCATTCAAACAAGAGATGAGAGTGAGATTCCAATTCAGTAAAACAAAAACAACACAAATCCGTAGTGTGAATCCCGCGAATACCAAGAACATCAGCTGTTTTAAGATCACCTTTAAAAGCCAACCAAGCGAAAGTAGAAAACCGTAGAGCCGACTTTTTAAACCAAACAAATTTGTGCCAAGAGACAGCCTCTTGGGAAGAAAAGAATTGTAAATGAAAACTCTTAAAATCAGGCTTATGTGAGCCAAGCCAGGTATGCTATGTGAAATTTTGATCAATATGAATAGCTTGTATCTTAGTGGAAATAGAGCTGTCAAAGCAAGCTGGGATAAACCAACTTATTCCAGCAATTATCTTAGAAACTTCCCAGTAATAGAGAACAGGAAAATAGTTTGCTAACATAAGGCTACCCATCAATTCAACAATGGAGAGGCCATTGCACCAAGGATCCGAGAGAAGGGATAGTTTACTATTGGGATGAACCGGTGAACAAATAGAGAGATACAATGTTTGATATTACCAGCAATATTGCACATTAGCTTCCAATCAAGTGAGTAATGAGGCGAGATGGTTTTCTAGAGTGACTGATACTTAGAGCGCCACCGGTCAAAAAGAAAATTATTGGAGTTAAGGAGCCTCTAAATAAGGGTGGCAGAGAAAACATGGTAGAGAGAGTTAATGGAAGGGATACCCAAACCGCAATGAACCTTGGGTTTGCGGTGTCCTTCCACACAATGATGTGCAGTTTCCTCAAGTTAATGTTGCCAAAATAAAGAAATCTTGAGCACAGATGATTAATAGTTTTGCAACAGCTTTTAGGGAGGATAGTGCCCCTTATCCAGTTAGCCAATGTGTTGCTAATAGTGAGTTTGAGATATTGGATTCTGTCAGCAAAGGAAAGAATTGCTTTCCAACCATCCAACGATTTGCAATTCTGTGGATCAGAGGTTGGAAGTCATTAGGCCTCAATTTTATGTAAAAGACAGACAGACCCAAGTATTTGAAGGTTGAAAGGTTTGGGCGATATTGAGGGTAGCACAAATTTAGGCAGCTTGGGGGGTGTTTTAGAGAAGATAATAGTGTTTTTTGAAGGATTAACCTGAATCCCAGAAACAGAAGCAAATTGCTGCAGTAAGGTGTTGAGGGTGTGAGCATTGCCTATATTAGCCTTAACAAAAACAAGTAGATCATCAGCATATATTAAATGGGACATGGAAGGTGGCCGAGTCCATCCCAAGAAAGCTGTAGTTGTTGGAAGCCTGACCAAAGCTAGAAGAAAGGGCATCCATGACCACACTAAAGAGGTAGGGGGATAATGGACAGCCCTAACACAGCCCAAAAGAGGAATTAAAGAAGCCTTCAAGCGCTATATTGATGCAAATGGAGAAGTGAACATCCATGATGCAAGCTTTAATCCACGAAATGAACTTATCAGGGAACCGTTATCTAAGGTGATGGAGAACGTACTCCCGAGAGACTGTGTCGAACACTTTGGAGATGTCGAATTTGGCATAAAAAAATTTCTCCTTAGCATTCCGATTAATATCATCCAGAAGGTCTGTAACAAGTAGGATGTTATCAGAGATGACCCTATTCTGAATAAATCCACCTTGGCTAGGGTGAATGATGTGAGGCAAAACATCTTTCA